TGAGTGGATGGAGTCTTGCCTGCTTTCCGGGGAGTTGGTAACATTTCGTAGAGTTTACACACGGTTCAGTGAAGTCTTAAGCATTATTTTTTCCTTTTGAGATCATTCGTCTCCTAATATGACAAATTCAAAGGGAAATATGCTCTGATCACTCAGCCACCTCTTCTTGACACAAATAACGAGGAACTAATAATCAGGTTTGTGGAGGAAGTGGGAGAAAGGGACTCAAAAAAAAAAAAATGAATACACGCTTAAGAAGGGTCTCGTGACCCATCCAGGGCCAGGCTGACAAGACTGGCTCCACGCTGTGGTCCAGGCTTCAGCAGAGGTAAACTGATGCCTGGCTTCATTATGACATCTACTTAGGCAGGCAGCTGTGTTAGGGATTTAGTCCCTAGTGCATCTGAAAGCATGTTGACATCCTCGGAGAGAAGCAGAATGGAAGCTGGATGGGGGGGTGCATGCCTGTAACATAGCATTTAGGAGGCTGAGCCAGGAGGATCCGGAGTCTAAGGCCAGGGTGGGATACATCAGGAGATCCAGGCCAAACCCAGCTGCTCACAACGAAAACAGAAACTGCAGCAGAATGGGGACAACAACTGAGCAGAGGGGCTCATGTAAAAACAGTGCACACAATCACAACCAGCTCCGAGTGCTCGTTACTCGACCTTGAGCAGGGCTCTTCCCCTCTCGTACTTACACCTGGGAAATGACAGAGATGGGCAAGATGGCCCTGAAGCGTGTGTATGGATCTCTTACTCCAAGAATCTGCTACGTAAGGAAAAGGAATTGTCAATCGTGCAGTAAGCTAAATAATGACTGTCATGGTTTGAACCTGAAATGTCCCCTAGAGGGTCGTATCCTGGGGACTTTAGAAGAGTGTGTGTAATCTTTTAGGAGGCGGGGCACCATTCGTTGTGATGGTTTGGTTTTAATTGTCATTTTGACCCACCCTAGGATCACCTGAGAAGAGACTCTGAAAAAAATGAGGGACTGTCTACACTGGGTTGACCCACACGACGTTGTCTTAATAATTGATGTGGGAAGACTCAGTCCACTGTGGGTAGAACCATTCCCTAGGCTGGGGGTTCTAAACTATGTGAGTGGAGAAACGAGCCTGACGCACCCATCCCTCTCTCTGCTCTTGACTGTGGATGTTATTGAGTGGTTTTTCAGTTCCTGCAGCCTTGACCTCCCTGCTATTGTGGGCTGTAACCCAGGATTGTGAACTAAAACCTTTCCCCTGCTACGTTGCTTTTTGTCAGGGTATTTGATCACAGCAAGACAAACGAAACTAGAACACTAGGTGTGGGTGTTTAAAGGTTTCACCACCCCGTCGTCTTCCTGGCCCACAGTGCGAGGAGGAGCTCCCTACCCTCCCATCCCGCTGCCGTGAACTCTACCATGTCATCCCCACCATGATGGACTGAGAGAGACCCACTAAAAGTCAAAATGAACTTTTCTTCCAGTAAGGTCCCCCCCTGCACCCCCCCCCCCGTCAAATACTTTGGACACAATGATGCAAAAGTCACTAATTCAATGACATAGGTACCAGGGTTTCCTAGGCTGCCACTGATGAGGGAGAACCAATGTGTTTTCCTCACTGTCACCCATGCCATCTCCTGCTTTTGTGTTACACTGACTTTACTGGCTCCTGGACCAGGTAAAGGCCAAGATCCCTAGAAATGGCATGACAGACCCAGAGGGCTCTTGAGTGTGCCATGGAGCTCTTTCAGTTTAGATGCTCATTAAAGAAGAGAAGGCCATTTCCTTTGTTATCTCTAGACTAGCGAAGTGGGTACCTGCCCTAGGAAGGTCCCGTAGCAGTTGAAGGATGCAGGTGTGAAGAGACACTATCCACCTGTGATAAAGATGGAAGGGTGAGGACCAGACTGCTCCACACTGCCACATGGGCCACGCACACCCAAGAAGTCTCTAGCTGGACCACTCTGGCCCTGGACTGGACCAGGATGTGGAAAAGGTATGTCCAGATAAGTAATGGTCCTCTTCAAGAGAGACTGAGTACCCACAGAGCATCGGGCTTGTAGACACCATCCTCCAAGCACACTAGTGAGCACAGATGCACACACATCTGACTCCAGCTATCATCTGAAGAATGTAGAGTTCCTTTTTTTGAGTTAGACTTTCCAACCATGGAATCTACAAGCACATTAGCTTCTTATCTGTGAGGATCCGGTAGATCACTGTCCTTCCCTCTGACCAGTACAACCGGCAAAATCAACTGAGGTCCAGACCTCAGGAACTGATAGGATTCTATTATGAAAAGGAAACAGTGTCCCCAACCCCCAAAGCATGGGACTCTGCCAGGGAGAACAGACCCAGACACAAATACCCACAAGGTAGGGTGGAGAGTGAGTGGTCAGTGCAAACACAATAACCACAAGGTAGAGTGGATAGTGAGTGGTCAGTGCTGGAAGAGAGGAAGGTCCAGAACCCTCAGAGGCAATTCCCACCCAGAATCCAGTGCACCTCAGGAAGAGCCCTCACCATGTGTGAGAGGCCCCGGTTCCTCAGGTTCCTCCCCTCCTGCCATTCCGCCCAGGGAGCCTCATGCTTTCTCATCAAGCCATTTCTCCGGGTTGTCAAATGGACCATTTGCCCTAAGTGCCTCACGGTATTATGAGGATTAAGTGAGAACTGATTTAAATGCACATTGGATAAATAAAAGCGAGTATGAAGCCTTTCATCATCCCTGGAGGGAGAGGAGGGCGGCGAGCTAAAAGAAAGTAAGGACAAATGGCTGCAGTGGGTGGTGCTGACGGACCCCGGGGTAGCAGGCTGATGTGACCATGCCCCAGGTTAGTAACTGGCTCCAATTACTGTTTTTAATCTCATAGAGCGCGCTCTCGCTCTCTCATATTTAAAAAGATGAAGTGAGAGAACACATGAATTCCCTTGCGTGGGGAGAATGAAACCCCCACTAAGAGAAGTAGCAGGAACCTAGCAAGCAGAGTCAGGTGAGCCCTGCCTTCTCCAGCCCTGCCCCTCTCCAGCCCTGCCCCTCTCCAGCCCCCGCCCCCTGCAGTGGCAGGTTTTTTTTTTTTTAACCACTTTTCAAGGGATTCTACATTTATGGTTAATTTTCATTCTTACCTACAAACCAGAGAGGCAGGGAGGACACAGCTCTGTCAAAGGTGGGGAAACTGAGGCTCCAGGGGCGAGTGATATCAACGGGGAGCCCATCTCCTCAACTCCTCACCCTGTGGGATCGCTCATACCGTGTCCCATCCCGAGACTTGTTTCAACAATGGGGATTGGTGGGACACGCCTGTAATCTCAACACTAAGGAGGCCAAGGCATGAGGACTGATTCGCGTTTCAGGCCATCCTGGGCTACAGAGTTGGACGCCGTTTCAAACAAAACAAAACTGCTACTGTGGTGGCTCTTCACCCCAAGGAGCCGTCTTCCTGACTGTTGGACACTTCACTAAACTACCTCATCAGATGACTCCCAAGAGTTACTAGTTTACTGCAATTAAGAGGGTTGTGGGGGCTGGAGAAACGGCTCAGTGGTTAAGAGCACCTGCTGTTCTTTTAGAGGACCTGGGTTCGAGTCTCAGCACCCACACAGCAACTCACAATCACCTGTTTACTCCAGTTCCAGGGTCTCTGATGTCTCCTTGTGGCCTCTCCAGGCACTGCACACACATGGTGTACAAACATAGATGCAGGCAAACACCCATACACGTATCCCAGGTAGAAATGTAGATTATCTGGATCTTTTTTTGCCAAAAAAGGACGAATCGGGGTTAGAACCATTGGCTCAATGACTTGACATCATAGCCCCTTAGAAGGAAGGGGAATAAACAGCCTGTAGTATTGGGTCTTTGCCATGGGCTTCTTGCCTACAGACTCGACTGTCAGATGGCATGGCTGCAGGAATGGGTGCAGAGGGCAAGCACACTGTTAAGGCAATGAAGTTACTTGGGCACTGAGACGCCAGAGGCAGTGGGAGTGGTGTGGGGTCTGAAATTGGGTCAGGAGCCCAAGTTCCAGCCCGTGAGGGTGGACGGGGAGTTGTTGCTCCCTGGCCTGCACAGAGGAGGGAAAAGGGAGGACCCTAGAGACAGAGCCAAACCCTCATCTTCCATGGCCCACTCTCACCCTTGACGATTTTAACATTTCGTGGGGTACCTGCTTCCAATAGGATGTTCTATTCTAATTAAAAAAAAAATCAAAGTATATTTTGCTGGGAGACTGGCACTGTTTCAGGGTGACTGGTAACACGCTCATGAGGAGGCTCCCAGGTACCCTACAGTAGCAACAATGTCTGGCAGAGGAGAACTTGCTGTTCCCGAAGACACAGCGGGTTAGGAGGAGGCCTGGGCCTTGGAAACAAATCGTGGTGACATATGTCTCTATCAGCGCAGCTGGGATGACTCTGTGACGCACCATGGGGAATTGTAACAGAACCATCCTCAAGCATGACGCCACTCCACATTGAGGGAAGGACCAACAGGGCAGTCATTAGCTGATCTGTAGTGAGCATTAGTTTATCAGACTAGTCCCCCACCCCGCCCCCCATTGCTCACTCCTGACTGACTGAAAAGAACCCAGGATGGGCCAGCCCTGGTAAGAGGAACAGGTGAGACAAGCCAGAGCCTTCTGGTGTCTCCTGAGCAGCCAGATGTCCAAGATCAGTGGATGCGATAGAAAAATTCATCAACCACACAATATTACAGCCATAGAGCTCAGGGCTAAAAAATAGTTTAGACATTGTCTAGTCTGACCTTTCACTTGTATAGCCCAGAGTGATTGGCCACAGTTATGTGGGCAAAGTCACGACTAGGAACTAGATACCTCCCACTCTCAACAACTTTTCAAGCCATGGATCTTTCTTGCACCTTTTCACCCCTCCCTAACATTAATAGCAGTCTCCTGATTACAATGGAGAAAGACAAGCCCTCTGGAACACTGTGTGCATCCTTGAGGACCCCACAGGTCAGCAGCAGCAGTAGCAGCCTTTCCGGACAGACATACCTTGTGTGAGTAATGCTGATCCACGATTCTTGCCAACCCGAAATCCCCAATCTTGAGCACAAGGTCCTCTGTGCTGATAAAAATGTTGGCGGGTTTCAGGTCCCTGTGCAACACGTTAGCAGAATGGATGTACTTGAGCCCACGGAGCAGCTGGTACATGAACAGCTTGGCATGCTCCTCGGTCAGTGTGCCCTGCTCCAGCAAGCGCGCCAGGTCCGTCTCCATGTACTCTTGGACAATGTAGGCCACGCTGAACTTGAAGAGCTCGCCCTGCAGATCGCTACCCTTGGGTCCTAGTACCTCATAGACCTTGACAATGTTGTCATGGTCCAGGCGCCGGATGATTTTGATCTCTCGGAGCGCATGCTTCATGCTTCGGGCATCACTCAGAGCAATCTTCTTGACAGCTACCTTCCGGCAAGCCCTGCTGTCCACAGCCGACAGCACCAGCCCGTTGACCCCAAAGCCTAGGGGTTGGAAGTCAGTGAAGCGCCCTCCAAGGTCATACCCGTAGACACTGGCGAGGCAGTCCCCTCTCTCGGCCATTGTTGACTCAGTGGTCTGGGGCCGTCCGGGGGATGCAGGGGCAGTCAGGAAAGGCCAAGTTCCAGCTAGTGGTTTCCCCAGCACACCTCATTCTGTCCGACCTCACAGCTGAGGGATGCTTTTGCTCCTGGTGAGGTCACTGCTGCCAGGGGACAGGAACGGCTGACTGCAAGTCCTTGCTCACTGATGTGCTCAGCGGGATGCTGCAAGGGTTCTCGTCTGCACCGGGAGGGTTTGCCACCGACTCCTGGGCTTCAAGAACCCTCCTAGACGCTTAAAATGGTTCATGCTTCTTCCAGATCTGGCATTATTAGAAGGAGAAAAGCCAGTGTCCTTATCTTCTATCTCCACGGATCTCAAAGTAAAATATGCAGCAACTCTCCCCTTTGGAATCCTTCTGTCTGGCCCCAATGCAGGAGCTGCTTGCCGAGCTGTGTTGCTTTACTTAAGTGGGTCCAAAGCTTAATCGGATCACAGCCTCCCTCTGTGCCCTGAGCAGTAAGAGGGGATCCAGTTAATGGATTCTAGAAGGTTCTAGGGGGCGCCTTTTCATTTCCGCCAGTTTATCTTTCTACAAGTTCCCTTTAGAATCCAAAGCTCCAACTAGTTAGGTGAGTAAAAAGCCGGGAAAAGCCACACTCTCTCATGAGCTCTGCAGTTGCAAGGGCTGTCCTGAGTCCAAAAGGAACTTAGCTGCCAGGCCAGGACCCTCCAGAGGCTTCGGATGGGGGCGTATCCTCTTTCACCCACGCCTCCACGCCACCTTGACTGAGACTGCTCCGCGGGATGTGGCAGGGCTGCAGGAATGCAGCATCTTTCAGAGTCCCCTTCCCTGTCAAAGAAACAATGTTGGGTAAATTTCCACACTCCGGCTTCCAACACCTTCCCACTGGCGTCTTTTGTTAACTAGCCCAAGTGTTATTTGATCTGTCCAGCCAGCTGAAACGCTGCTTGCTCAGGGGATTCCAGCTTTGCACTGCTCAGCCACCCTCACGCTGTGTGCAGCGGTGCCCCGGCAGAGGGGAGAAAGACCGGTTGATTTGATAAGCTCATCAGTGCCTGTTTCCCCAGGGCTAACATGTGCAGACTGGGGGTGGGAGTCATCCCTTTTGACCTTTGCAAGATGAATCTGTTCTGCTTTCCAGACACACACACATCTGCGCTAGCTCGGAAGGCTGAGAGTCGAAAGGAACCCGTTGCAGGCGAAAATGAGGGCTCAGTAATCTTGTGTTCTCACGAGGGTCCCTCCCTTATTTTGCAAACGCCTTTGAATACTTTAGGAGAAAATTCGCCTCCTCTGAGATTCAATTAGCATTTGTATTCTTTCCAAATAGGTGGCAGAAACACACATACAGAACTACAAGAAAACTCTCCTGCCACTCACAGAAAAGGAGCTGTCTGTCCCCAAACCAATGTTATATGGGGGCTGGCGTGGAGAGCCCTGATCTTTTTATGACAAGGACACTGGGGACCTAACTGCTTGAAGCAGTTGGCCACATCTGACTTGATAGCTCCCCTCTGGTGGCTGTCAAATTGCAGATACAGGACATTAGGCGATAAGTGAAAAACCCTCCAAATCCAAGGCAGGTCACCTCGGAACTCTGAAGTAAGGCAACAGTGACTTCAGGGGTGTGACACGTTTCCCAAGTGTACAGAGTTCACGGGTACACAAAGATAGAACTTTGTGCCTAGTGCAGAGGGAACCTGGCTAGTCTCCTCGATTCTTAATTCCCACCTCGTCTAAGTCTCACACAGTGCAGGGCCCCATGTGAGTACACTTTCCCATCCGAACAACTCTACAAATAATAAATGAAGCAAAACAACCATGAGCTTCATGCTCTGAAATTATAGTGTAGGTGTGTGTGTGCATGCATGTATGCATATGGAGGGTGTGGCATACGGATGATCAGACTAGTGAATAATCAGATCCCCACTGAAGGCACACATCTGTGCATGTGGATGCCAGAAGTTGAACCCAGCTGCCTCCTTCAACGACTTCCCCACCTTATCCTCTGAGGCATGGTCTCTTACTGATCCTGGAGCTCCCTGCTTTGGCTAGAGCGGCTAGCCAGCAAGCCATAAGGACCCTCCTGCCTCTGTTTCCCCAGCTCTGGGCTTACAGGCTGTTATGTGGGTGCTGGGGAGCTGAACTTCGGTTTTCATGCTTGTGTGGCAAGAACGTTATGGAAGGAGCCGTCCATCCCCTGGGTTGTACCATCGCTCCCCACCCCGTGCCCTCTGAGGTTCCTGAACAAGGAAATTAGCCAGGGCTCTGGAACATAATAGTGCGTGCTTAGTTCTACAGCTGTCCGCTGTTATGGCTGGCGGCTGCCCAGCAGTTCCTCACACCTGAAGGAGATGGGCTCTGCTGACAGCCTGTCACATTTACAGCGGTTCCTCTCTGAAGCTTTGATTGGGCCCAGAGGCAAAACAGCCGCAGAGTTAATAAAACTTCAGACTTGGGACCAGTCCAAAGCGGACAGGTCCCATTGTCTTTAGCTGCAGACGTACTGTCCTCCTTGGCTCATGTCACCAGGAGTCACCTTTATTGGGTAGGGCCAGGCTACTAAGTATTCTACTGAGCAAATCCATTAGTGACTGACACCCGAACCCCTGTCCCCTATCCATGTCCCCAAATGCCAAGAGCATGCCCTCTGAGGCTGCTTCTGACCCAAGTTCTCACTTCTCAGGTGACCCAAGTTCTCAGGTGGAGGGCTGAGACTTTGTGAGCGCTGGTTCAGTGGTTCGGGCACAGAGACAGACACTTGGCTAAAGGAATACCCTTCACTGGTATGCAGATGCCTGGGCCACTTAGCCACCAGGGGGCTGAGATAAGACACAATGCCACAGACTGTGTATAGTAAAGTCCTCCTGGACACCTAACTCAGGGAAACATCCCCCTCTCTCCTCACACACACAGAGAGAGACAGAGAAAGTGAGTGTCTTGGTTCTATCTCCATTCCAGCCAAGCTAGGTGATACCACCTGAGCTGGAGTGTCTTGCAGTTCCACGGATGGGCCTCAATGGTCCCCAAGGGCACTGCAGAGGGAGCTAATTAGGAACATCTCTCTAAGAGGAGAGACGCCCAAGCCTCCTCCCCTTTCCAGCTCCTGCTGGGTGGTAAACAGAGATTGGAATGGCTCAGAGGAGGACTTGCTGGCAATCAGGGCTGCAATGCAGATAATCTGTGAATAATTAAGAAGGGCTTCATTTATTTTTAAATTCTTTCCTCTTCCTGTGCCCTGTGGGAGGGACTCTCTTCCCTGTGTGTCCTGTTTCTTTCTCAGTCTCTTCCCAACACACTGTCAGCTAAAGCACATGGGAAACATGTCACCTTGGGAAGACTCCATTCCAGCAACACCATTTTCCTCCTAGGGGTCTAAACCGACCATTTTTAATTCTCACCTGGCTTCTTCGATTGTGCCTTTCAGATTTTTCAGCACATTTCCTGGATGGTGGGCCTCCTCTCCCTGTGTGCTATGGGAGTAGGTTCTTGTTACCATGAGCTCTAACCATGCAGACCATTGTCCTACACTTGAACTTTGACCCTCAGTATCATCTGTCACTCCAATATCGCCTCTCACAATTTCAACACCCCATACAGGTGGCCTTCATGCAAGTATTCCCACCTGAGTTTCCTGTCACTCATCTCTTCCTAAACTGAGACACTGTCTACATTTCTCTCTAGTTCCTCTGTAATATCTACTGCAAACCCACTTCCTTTCCCCACAGGCGGTTTGCTAGGAAGCGTCCTCTCTTCACTTCTGGCACGAGATGCCAAGAAGCAGGGCTATTCGCCCCCCAGAGAGGGACAGATGGCACTTAGATGTGTCCCTGGGTAGCGGAGAAGGTTCCGCAGCAAAGACCGGTCATCTCCATGAGGAGGTGGCAGCTCGAGCTGCTCAGAACCGATATGATTTCAAACCAAAGGACATGGCATTCACTGTATGAGACAGAAAGGTCAAGCTATTCAGCTGCGCTCAGATGGCAGGCAGCAAGACGAATGCGTGTAGCTCCCTTAAGGGCAGCGCAGGTTCCCACAGTTCCATAGCAAACACCGCGCAATAAACACAGACATAAAAACCTCGAGCCCAGGCCTCCTAACAGTGGAACCCCAGCTTTTGCCTGGTTTCTTGCAGACAGCTTCCCAGAACTCCAGTGAATTATTCTCTCACTATGTAGCACTTTAACAGATGGAGGCAAACCAGAGGTGAAGTGGTATATGCCACCTGTCTCTTTCTGGGATTCCTGGGGCTCTGGTTTACAAATTGGCTTTGGGAAATCTAAATTTAGACTCACCCCTCTGCCTGCTCAGCATCTCCCAAAACCTCATGCTGTTGACTTCAGCAGGAAAGACCTCCTATGAGGCATTGACCTTTCGAAGCTACTGATTCCTTCCTTCTCCCAAACACCCCCCAAAACCTGCAGTCAATTCTCAGATGGGGCGGAAGTTTCAGACAGACAGACCGCACAATCTCAGGAGAAACCGTTCATGTCACACACATGGGCCTGACTGACTCCAAGGTTCTTGAGGGAAGATCAGTAAGCCATTTTTATAAAGGGCCAACACGTTTTTGTGGCCAGACTTCCTCCCAGTGAGCTGACTACTCACAGAAGTCCTGCCTGGTGTCACCTCTAGCTGACACTGGCCACCTACCCAGGTCTCTAGTGCTTTCTCCATGTGAGTAGAAACCACATCTGGTTTAGTCATGGAGAAGGTATCTCATCTCTACCCTGGGTTTTTAAGTCTCAGTACTGTGGATATTTGAGTCCAGGTCACTGTCAGCAGGGCCCCTCCTGAGCACTGGCCTCTGCCCACTCCATGGCAGTAATACTCTGTCTGCAGCGTCTCTAAACACTGACCACGGGGTCTAGTCAGCTCCACTGAGCTGCTGTCTGCAGGGAAGATTCAACAGAGGCAGATTAGTATTAAGAGGCCACCCAGTGCCTGACTCAGTGTCTCTCACAGGGCATCAGTCATACTTTCTGACAAGGCTGGAGTCACGTGAAGACTGGCTGGGTTAAAGTCTCTACTAGGCTCACCAATGTGATCTACATGGTTTCTGCTCAGGGTCAGGAGCCCCCTCCTTGTTTTGTGGGGCAATTATTATTACTGTGTATATGTGTGTGCATGTGATGCCACGTGACTGCTGGCACACTTGTACGATGGCATGCATGTGAAGGTCAGATGACTGTGGAGTCAGTTCTCTCCTTCCACCTTTTCGTGAGATCTGGACATTGAACTCAGGTTCTCAGGCTTGGTGGCAAGTGCCTTTACCCACTCAGCCAGCTCACCTGTCCTAAGGTTTAACCCTGGTCTAACCCACCACCTACAAATGGCACTCCCCAGTTGCCAAGGCAACCTCATTCAGCCCCTAAAATCCTAGGGGGCAACTGTACTTCTCAACCCCAAATCCAGTGAAAACCCGGAACCCACAACAGTTGTAATCTGATTTCCGGTGGGCAGAAATTGACACTGGGTGGTCACAGGGTCAACTCCTGAACAATCAGCTTTAAAGGAACGCTTTTCAGGGTGGGAAAAACCTTCCTCCCCAAGGAGCAAGAAACCCCGCCTGCCGTCTGTGGACACAGCTGTAGAGGAATTGATGTTGGTATAATGGCAGCCATCTGAGATGATGTGTGGTAAAGTCGGAGGACCAAACCCAGCACACTAGGAGTGGCAGATGAGCAGGGGAGCTTGTTGACAACCATGAGGAGCTGAGCCACATCTATGGGGACCCAACCCCGGCTTTCTTGTCCAGACAGATGGTCAAGTCTATGAATCCACTCTAACTGCAGACACTTAGTGTCCCTGAGACACAGCCATACCAT